TGCATCCACATTTCCAAACTGAGTGCTCTTGAGCAGACAGTGGAAAATGCAGCAACTTCCCAGGAGGTCAAAACGTGGGACTCAGAGCTCCTCTGGGTTCCTGCAAAAGGTTTGAGGAACCCTAGATGCCTCACCAAAGGTTCATTTCAGAAGGAGCAGAAGATGGAAGTAGGGAAGAGTAGGGAGAACAAGGTAGCTTGGAAAGGGTGTGTCGTATGTGTGGCCATGCTGCTGTGATGAAACACCATGGCCAAAAAGCAAGTTGTGGAGGAAAGGGTTTACTTCGACTTACACTTCCACACTGTAGTGCATCACTGAAGGAAGCCAAGACAGGAACTCAAGCAGGGCAGGTTCCTGGAGGCAGGAGCTGGTGCAGAGGCTGTGGAAGGGTGCTGCTCACTGGCTTGCTCCCTATGGCTTATTCAGCCTGCTTTTTTTTATAGAACATAGTGATGTGGGATTTCCCTCTCTGTGCTGTGATTACCATTAATGAATAAAGTGCTTTGGACCTATAGCAGGGTACAATTTAGTAGGTGGGAAAAACTAAACTGAATGCTAGGAGGAAGAAGGGTGGAGTCAGAAAAAAGCCATGGAGCTTCCAGTGGGAATCTTGCCAGTAAACCACAGCAACATGGTGATACAAAGATCAATAGAAATGGGTTAAATTAATATGTAAGCATTAGCCAATAAGAAGTTAAAGCTAAGTGATTTAATTAATACAGTTTCTGTGTGATTATTTCGGGTCTAAGCTAGCCAGGCGACCGGGAACCAACAAGCAGCCTCCTGCTATAACATAGGACTACCAGACCAGGGATGGCACCACTCACAATGGGTTGGGTCCTACCCCGCCAATCACTAACTAAGAAAATGCCTTACAGCTGGATCTCACGGAGGTGTTTCTTTCAACTGAGGTTCCATTCGTAACTCTAACTTGTGTCAGTTGACATACGACCAGCCACCACAGGAAACAGTTTAAGAAAACAGTAGTCCCAAGGGCTGCTACCCGAAGCTCTCCTGTCTAGTTAAGGAGGGACAGGAAGTCACCCAGGCCATGTGTCTGCAGCAGGTCACATGTCTGGTCAGATTTGCCTAAGCTGTGCCCCACAGTTCCTGATGGGAACCAATTTAAATATAAGTTCCTGACCCCAGAAGCTCAACTGTGTGGAGAGTGGTCACTCTTGACAGGCTGATCTGTCACACAACAGCACTTACGTATTTCAGACGGACAGAAAACAATGTCGTACGCAGCACCTTAGGATGTCCAGCCTTTGAGCGGGAGCTTTCTTCCCAGTATCTGAAGTCTGTATGATGCATTGAGAAAATTTCCTACTGTGGATATGGAGAGACGCAATCGGATGGGAGGCCTCTTGGTGATTAATTGCCGTCACGCTGTCTTCCCAGTGGCTGGAGAGCTTCATGTTCTCTTTCATCATAATTAAACTCTTAGAGGCTGAGCCTGAAGCTGTAGGAATTCTGCCACCCCACCATCATTGACGTGGCTCTTGGGTTCATTCGCCACCACTCCACTGTAACTACTAACACTGTTCGTATGTGTTTGTGTTACAACTTTTATGAAGGGATTGTTTCTGGATGCTTAGACCCATGCTCTGCTTAAAGACTGCATTTGATCTTCACTAACTGTTCTTGGAGGCCCCATTATCACCTCTTCTCTATCTGTATCATGACGTTATCACCTTCTTCACCCCAGCTAGCTGCGCCATCTCCCATCCCCTTCCAGCATGTGTCCGATCCAACACAGAAAAAGAACCAGCTGACTAAGTAGATCATCTGGGATGTGGAGAAGCTGGGTGCTGTTAAGTCCAGAGCCTGATTACAATTTGGCTTGGCCAATCTTTAACTCCCTAACATCCTACCAGATTTTTTAAAAAAAAAAAATCCTTTGGAATAAATTTAAAAACAAAACCAAAACAGTTTTCCATTCAAAGGGCTAGGTGTGTTGTCGGACCACGTCTGAGGCTTACGGCAGAGCTCTCTCCACCTTCCTAGAACCCGCCTACCTTCTGTATCCACCAATGGATTTGAAAAGTGCCTTGATTCATGACTGACTTCCTTTGTTGTTACTATAAAAAGTTTATAAAATTGCGACCTCACTGGAACGTGGAATTTGGGGTAACTAAATGTGTGTTTCTGGGCAATGGTCACTCATATTTGGCTCCGCAATAAACTATCTCTTGCCCTTTGAGATGAGAGCCGCTTTTATGTTGACAGAGCTAAGTCTATTATTGGCCACATCTCCCATCTTGGCCGATACCACTCCATCTTTGCAGTTTTCAGGCCTAAACAACAGATGCCACACTCTGGTGGGTCCTGGTGGTCATTACTTCTTGGCTAGGTTTTAGTCCTAGGCTCCAGCCCTTGTCCACAAGCGAATCCCAGCAGGGCGCTCAGAAGAGCCTTTCCTAACCACGACTGGCTCATACCACTCACTTCTTGAAAACAAATGGCTCCTTGGTGCAGAGCAAACGTTCTTAAGATGGCCCCATTATAATACACGCGTGTCTGCTCATCCTGAGAACCCCACAGGGCTTTTATAGCCCCGCTTTTCTCTGTTCCTCCAAGAAGGCACCGATAGCTTTGCTCCAGGCTGTCTTAAGTGTTCAGATTCTGAGCAGCTTTCATGATAAAAGTAAAATATCTCCCCATCCTGAGCACAATTCTGATTTATTTCCTGTCCAGTGCAACAGAGATAATGTCTCTCTCGCAAAGGACAAGGGAGTTGTCTTGCTAGCCACACAAAACATGCAGGCTCCCTGAATTTGGGGTTACTCAGCTATGACAAAAATCCACTGTGGATGCAACAGTCATCTGGCCCCTCCCGTGCCACCACTGGATGGAGGGCAGAGAAAAGTGAGGCAAACTGTTGCCAGTAGCACGTGAGAGATGGCACCTGGGTTCTCTTGCATTCTACCAGAATCCATGTACGCTACAGGCTAAAGCTGCTGCCTAACTAGGCTGGCTGAGTCTCAGCCTATCTGTTTACTTCCCACCTCACCGCTAAGCCCCGCCTCCTTCCCACCTCACTGCTAAGCTCCCCCTCCCTCCAGCTACACACCTGTTCCAGGACTCTAGAACAGGTAAGGGGAAGCGTTTGCTAAAGCCACCCATTTCTCATTACCCTGTAATACACTCCCCTAGATCTCCTTAAGCTGACCTCCTCACCAAGTGTGCTCTCCAGTTTCTCCCTTTCAGGGAGCAGACCATTTACAACCACAGCTAATCCTCTTCCCTGCCTTAACCTCCCCAAGTTCCCTTTATTCAACTCAATTTGTTTTCCTATTTCAGTTATCCACTCAGCAGAAGGCAGGGCAACTGAATGCCTTTAAAGAACCTGGTAATAAGCATTTTACATCGGAAGGCCTTAGGTTCCTGTTAAGATGACTTTACTGTAGCAGGAGAGCAGTGATAAATAATACGCTAATAAGAGTTTTAAGATGTGTTCTAGTAACACATATTTAAAAAAGAAAACAAGAACCGATGATTACAGATGATCAGTCTCTGTTACAGAATCTTCTCAGCTTCTCATTCTACCGGCCAGTGAACGCCGTAAAAGGGGCCCTCATGTTTTAGTGACAGCCCTAGCTGGCCTGAGACTATGGAACAGAGATCTGCCAAGAACTAATGTGTTTGTGACTCTACTGTACACACACACACACA